TGTGGGATCTCAGAGGAAGGCTGTTCTTCTCTGGCCTCAGCTGTGACCTCCAACCCCTCCCATCTGAGAGAGCTGGACCTGAGCTCCAACCGTCCAGGAGATTCAGGTGTGAAGCTGCTGATGGCTGCTCTGAAGGATCCACACAAACTCAGGTATGAAGAGTCCTGCTGCAGCCACAAGCTCTGATAGAGGAGGAGGAGGAGCTGGAGACTCTGTGTGTTTCAAACTGGAAGAGGAAACTCACCACATGCTGATTTAAAGCTGTAGATTATTTGTTCTCACTCAAAGGCTTTAATGAAAATCAGTGATCTCAACATTTAAAAAAAATCAAAGACTCTAAAAACTCTGGATCCTGACACGCTGCCAATGAGTCACTTTAGTTAATATAGGATCAGAAATTAATGGAGGCCTGAGAAACTGAGAGGATTTCTTATGTTAGTGTGTGAACAGTCACAATTCACAATGATGTTTTGTAAAGAAATCATCTCTCCAACTGTAAACAGACTTTTAGTTAAAAACCAACAAATAAAGGCGTTTTCTGAAGCAGACATTTTCATTCTGACCTGTGATCAGAACAGACTGACAGACTGGAGATGTCTTCAGTCTGAATGGAACAGCATGTTTTTCTCTTTATCTGCTGAATGACATAAAATAATGACTAAAACCATTTAAAGTGCTCAGGTCTGAGAGGCTGAGGAGAATAACTGTGTCACATCAAAGTGAGATGAGATGAACCTCAGATGAAGAACAATGTTGATCAGATCACATTCATTTCACATCAAATTCTTTCCATCCAGATGTTTAGTTACAGTTTGTGCTGACTCTGTGTTTCCAGTGTGGATCAGCTGATGTGATTCTGGCTTCCTTTCCATGTTTTCTATTTCAGACTTGCAGACTGTGGACTGTCAGAGAGAGTCTGTGAAGCTGTGGCCTCTGCTTTAAAGTCCAGCCCCTCCCATCTGAAAGAACTGGACCTGAGTAACAACATGCTGATGGATTCAGGAGGGAAACATCTTTCTGCTGGACTGGAAAGTCCAAACTGCAGACTGGAAACTCTGAGGTTAGTTCACTCTGTCAGCTTTTCTGGTTTCCTGATGATAAAGACTCACAGAGCTAATGACCAGAAGAGGGGAACTGGGCAAAACCCGGATTAAGAGAGAGGAACAAGAAACAAACATAACTGGCCAAAAATGAGGAAGTCAAATCATGAGAGGAACTATAAAACACAACTAAGACCAGTCTGATACGGACAAGGAAACAGAGAATAACTTCAAACAACAAGGAGAAAACAAACTTAACAAGATACAAACTGGGTACATAAAACAGAGAGAAACAATAAACCCAAAAAAAAAATCACAAATGAATGTAGGCAGGACATAGAGAATTCTATTCTGTGTTACTCTGACTTTCACTACAAGAACTTTAAACTAACTTAACTTATTTATTTTGATTTCATTTTCAGATTCTATTTTTCTATGACGCCATATGTAGAAAATTTACTTTGGGTGTGGAGTCAAATATTTGATCAAATTTTACTTCATATGTTGGAAAATCCGTATGTTGAGGCATCATAAGTAGAGGTTCTGCTGTAGTTTGATTCAAATGAATCTACATGATATGTTTTTTCTTAGACTGGAAGGCTGCAGGTTGTCAGAGAGCAGCTGTTCTTCTGTGGTCTCAGCTCTGAAGTCCAACCCCTCCCATCTGACAGAACTGGACCTGAGCTGGAACCCCATCTCTGAGTGTGTGATGAGGGAGCTGAGCAGCTTTCTGCAGAGTCCACTCTGTGGACTGAAGACTCTGAGGTCAGACTCCAGGTTTTAGTGGTTAGTTCAGATTAGAGGATGAGCTCAAAGCTGTGCTGACATTAAATGGTCAACAGAAGCATTTTAAAGATTCCTACTGAGAATTTTTGTTTAAATATGATTTTCATTAGTTTTTTAGGTAAACATTTATTTACAAGAATCCACATTTAATAAAAATGTTTGACTCACAGCTCCTACAGAGCTCATTATTCGTGTTCCTCTTCTCCACCACCAGACTGCTCTCATGTGTTATTGAGTCGTTGCTTTGGGGTTAACAGAGTGATTCCCTTTATTCATGGAACAGGTTGAGGAGATCTGTCTGGCAGCTGAGTTGTGCACAAGCCATTTAGGAGTTTTGCCCCCCCCCCCTCTGTCCCCTTCTGACATGCAGTAAGCTCCTCTGATGTCTGCTGGTCAACAGGGCTAAGTCAGAGAGTGATTTGAGTGGAGCTGGGGGGCTTTATGTGTGTCCTTTGTCACGTTTTGTAGGATAGACAGCTCTGTTGTTTCTGTCTGACTTTTAGTGCCCATACCTCTGGACTCATGACAACAGTCCACTCACGGGAGTGGGAGCTCTTGTGTGCACTTTGCGCGCTTTGTAAGTCCCCGTGATTGGAGGACTACTGAGAGCTAACAAAGCATTGTGTGACTTTTATTTTGGCGATGGCGTCTGGGGACTCATCACTGATGAGGACTAAGGGCTACTGGTGATCAATGTTTTGTATGACATTTAACATCATTTTGTCGATCGACTCACGTGCACGCGCCCATATGCCTCTGGACTCACGCCTGTTGGAGAGCTGAGTGAAGCTTAAACCCCACGCACTTAAAACATTCCTGCAAATAGATCAAATGATTTGTGCTGTAAAAAACGCTGTCTGTGTTGCTTTTGTTTCTGAGGTATTAACAATCATAATTTTGGCCGGTGACGTCACCACTGGTCAACAAACCAGCATGGTCTACCTTTTTTGTGTTCCCTTTGTTGTTGGTTGTTGATTGAATAATTTTATTAATAGTTGACCACTAAAGTGGCGCATTACAGTCACCAGCTGGTGTGGAGTGTGCACCAGAATGTCACTCAGGGGTTAATTTTGGAGTTGTCAGATTTTCTTGACGCAGGGAAGGACATCAGGTAAGTCTCTTACTTCTGTGAAAAGCAGTGGGGCAATCAAAGTTTTATTTTTGAATTAACTTGTCACATCGGTGTTATTTAGCTGGGGTTTTTTTGTCCTCTCTCCATGTGGTCTCGTCATTTCCTGTTTTATTTTGAAAAGTAACCCTCATCTCGTTTCAGGTCACTTGCACTTCCTGGTGTGTCCTCTACACTTTAAAAGGAGAATAAACACTTGTGATTTTGAAAATTAACTTTATAAACGCTGGCAGTGCCCCCCCTAATGATTGTTCTGCTCAGCATGTGTTTGTGTGGATGGAGCCACTGGTGGAGCTGGCAGAGTTTAGAGCTGAAGTCACTGTGTCTTTATGAAGCAGCAGCATGTTGTATTTAATGTGAATTAGAGTTCTTTTTCTCTGGTTCTGTTTGACTGTTGTAACCTGCATCCTGTTGGCTTCAGCTCACATCTTTTACTCTTTATTAAGGTTGGTGAACTGCAAGTTGTCAGAGAGCAGCTGTTCTTCTGTGGTCTCAGCTCTGAAGTCCAACCCCTCCCATCTGACAGAACTGGACCTGAGCTGGAACTACACCTTCTCTGAGTGTGTGATGAAGGAGCTGAGCAGCTTTCTGCAGAGTCCACTCTGTGGACTGAAGACTCTGAGGTCAGACTCCAGGTTTAGTGGTTAGTTCAGATCAGAGGATGAGCTGAAAGCTGTGCTGCTCTTCATGGTAAAGTCTTCAGATAGCAGCTTCTGTTCTTTATTCAGATTGGAGCTCTGCTGGTTGTCAGAGACCAGCTGAATGTGATTGGACCCACAGTCACATCTGTGTGCAACATCTGTCTTTACAGGCTTTACTTTGAATGTGATTGGACCCAGATTGTCCTTTGCTCTCCTCAGACTGCAGTTGTGCAACTTGTTTGGGACCAGCTGCTGGTCTCTGGTCTCAGCCCTGAAGTCAAACCCCTCCCACCTAGTGGAACTGGACCTGGATGGAAACTACCTGGAAAATCCAGATGAGGAGAGGCTGTGTGCTCTGGTGGACATCCCTGAGTATGGACTGGAGACTGTGAGGTCAGCAGAGGGGGAGCTGGGCTGTCTTTTCCTGCCTCTGGCTGCAGGTTGAACAACCTCTGTGTTCTGCAGGCCTGCAGGGAGCAGAAATCTTAATTATGCAGAGATAAAAAGGCCTCTCTGGTTATTTTGTGTGTGCATAAACAGCCTCGTGGCAACAAGGTTTTTTACTTCCAGAGGCCCCAGAGCTTAAAGCCTGAGCAGTTCCACTGTTCTAGATCATAGTTGTTTATCTTATTCAGCTCTTGAATGAATGCTGTGATGGGGGAAGAAAAAAGCTGTATGCAGACCAACCACAAGGGTTTTTAACCTAAAACTAAGTCCAAAACTCAAATGAACCTGAGAAAAAAAGGCAGATACAGTACCAATCTAAGCCTCCAGGGGACACAATGACTTTTCAGCCATCTATTTTTTACCAATAATTCTGATCATTGATCACTCTCACAGCTACAGGAGACTGGTTTGACCTTCTAATGTGTCACTGGGAAACTACATTGGAGCACTAGACTATTTGTCTGTTATTTTGTTAATGAACATAGAAAAACAGACCAAAGATTTAAGTTTGCATTAAGATGTTTTGCCTTTGATGATAGGAAATATCACTCAAATATGCAAAGAAATGAGGAGAGAAATGACCCACTCTGCCTGTAATTGCTCTCGGCGCCCCCTGGTGGTCATGCTCAGCTCTTATGACTGAGATAGCTTTTTATCACACAAAGAGACTTCAATGTTTTATTTTGGGTTGTTTCCTGTCAGAATATTAAACAGAATGTTTTTTTTACTCTTCTTCACTGGCTACTTAACTTTGATGTGTCTCTTTAGATAAACTGGTTATTCCCGAGGGAATGATGGGACAGTGACTGACTGCCTCTCTCTCTCTCTCTCTCTCTCATTACTCTCTGTTTGCTTGTGTTTGCTCCACAGGTTTTATGGCTGGACGAAGAAATCCTCCAGAGACAAAAGCTGTGAGTGCCTGTCCACAGCCAGTGTTAACGGGGGAAGTCTGTGCCGCTCGGGGTCATTATATGGCACACTGTGGAGGCTTTATGGCAAAAAAGTCCAACCTGCTGGAAGCAGGATGGGTGGGGACTGGACTCTGGTTCTGGAGGGCAGATGAAAGGATCACAAACAGGCTAAAGCTCTAATCGGGGCAGTTTGAAGAGGGAAAAAGCTGTATTAGCTTCAGCTTTGATGTAACTGCTGAAGTTCAGGTCTGAGTCCAATCAAACTCCAGCATTCTTTACCTGGGATTTAGTCTTAAAACCTCTGGATTAACACAAAGAATTGAAAGCTCAAACTCTTGTGTTTGCATGTTTGAACAGTGTTTGAGGAGAAAAGCCATTTGGGCTCAGAATGTCTGTTGTCACTCCTCTAATCCACCCAGAGTCAGATCAGAGTCTTTAGGCCTAAAACATGTCAGCCTGATATCACGTTTAAACCATCAGCCAATAGCTGTTTGACTTAAGATTTTGATCTTCATTTCTCTGCTTTTCTTTAAGGTCCCAGACAGGAATCTTCATAGAAGGATATCCCAGGACTCCAAGCAAAGGACAGACTGTTTGCTGTCCGGGTGCAGTTCAATAATGGAGTCTCTAATTCTGTGCTGAACCAGCTGCTGGATAAACTCCTTCAGCACGGTGCTATGATTAATGAGGAGATGCAGACAGCAAAGACGAAGCCCAGAGCAGAGAAAGCTCCAGATGTGATTGATACTGTGATGAGGAAGGGACATGAAAGCAGCAAAACTCTGATAGAGGCTCTCAGGGAGGTTGACCCCTGCCTTTCCAGAGAGCTGAAGCTGTGGTGAGGGGCCTGAACCCTGACAATGGAGGCTGGTGGGGGTCAACAGGCACTCGGGGCCTTTTTTCACAACTTCAAATGTGGCCACAAAAAGTTCCTCAAGCTGTGAAATGCTGCAGCTCTATCTCGTACTTGCTGAGCCCCAGGCTGAGGAAATGTGCTAAAGGCTTCCAATCAGCTGAGAAAGTTGCTCAGAAACTGCTGGAAAGTCCAATCTGAGGATGGAACCTCAAAAACACGCTGGTATATTTGAATTGTGCATTTAAAGCTTCCAATCTTTAAAACAACTACAACAACATGGCCAACACGAATAAGGTCCAATCAGAGACTGTAAAGGCAGAAATGCACAAAGTATTATCAGCCCAGATTATCCACTCAACCACTAACTTCTCTTCCACAGATTTCTCATAAAGCATAAAAGTTTGGAGGTGGTTTCATTATTTTGAGTGCTTACTTTATGGCCCAATTCAAATGCATTTATTTTCTTTTTTTATCCAAATCTGAGATGTTTTATTTTGAGATTTGGTGGTGCATAAAAATTCAAACTGGGAGTGTGTAACTGTCAGCTGTTTGTTTTGTCACTTTGACTCAATAAACACTTACTTTCTGTATTTACCACCATTTCAAGTAACTTTGGCAAGTGATTTCTGCTGGTGACTAATTTTGTTTGGCTCTGGGATGGGGACTTGTGTAGGATCACCCAGAACCTGAGTCTTTGCAAAATGAGACGGATTTCAATTAAATTCAATTTTATTTATATAGTGCTGCATCACAACAACAACAGTTATCTCCCAGCTTTCCAAACAGAGCAGCTCAGAGTTATTTACAGAATAAGAGTTCCCACCAAGAGAAACA